TTACGGGGACGCGCGCAAGGGGGGGCTGCCTGTGGAGGTCTCCACCGTGGAGTTCAGCCACAGGGAGCCCGTGTATGGAACCATCTGGCTGCAGTCCAAAACCGGCACCGAGTGCTTCTCGGCCTCCACCGACGGGCAGGTAACGGGCAGGAGCAGGGAAGGGGGGCAGGGACTCGTGCAGGGCCCATGGTCGGCAGGCACAGAAGAGCTTCCCCTGCCCGCGTGACCAGCCCCTGGTCCCAGGTCCCTGCATTCCCTGGGAATGATGGGGACAGAGTGGGATGCGACCCGCAGGCAGTGATTTGGCCTAGCCCGTCCTGCAGTGTTGCTCCCCTGCTCGTCCCCGCAGGTGCTGTGGTGGGACATCCGCAAGCTGTCCGAGCCCACCGAGACGCTCGTCCTGGACATCACCCGCAAGGGGCTCCTGGAGAACGCCCTGGGTGCCATCTCGCTGGAGTTCGAGCCGACCATGGTGAGCGCCACGGCCCGGCACGGGCTCCCCTGCCCTCGTCTCGATGGACGGCGCTGGCCGTGCTGCAGGTTGCAGCGGGCTCCTCAGGGCCCTGTCCCCTGCACCACGGGCTCCCGGACCCTCTGACGGCTCCTCTCTGCCGCTCCCACCCCCAGCCCACCAAGTTCATGGTGGGCACGGAGCAGGGCATCGTCATCACCTGCAACCGCAAGGCCAAGACACCCCCCGAAAAGATCTCCGGCACCTACAGCGGCCACCACGGGCCTGTGTACGCGCTGTCCAGGAACCCCTTCTACCCCAAGTTCTTCCTGACGGTCGGGGACTGGACCGCTCGGATCTGGTCAGAGGAGAGCAAAGAATCATCAATTATGTGGACCAAGTAGGTGTAACCTCTGCAAAAAACGGTCCTTCTCTGTGTGAAAGAATTCCGAGGTGGATGAGCAGCAGGGTCTGGTCTGCTCGGTCGAGGAGGAGCAGCTGGTGGGGCAGTGACCAAGGCAGAGAGGTGCTGGCGCAGCCAAGAGCGCTGGAACGGGGACGTTCCCGTCCCTGCACTGGGGCTGCAGCCGGGCTCCGCGCGGCCCTGCCCGCAGGTACCACCTCTCCTACCTCACCGACGGCTGCTGGAGCACCGTGAGGCCGGCCGTCTTCTTCACCACCAAGCTGGACGGGACGCTGGACATCTGGGACTTCCTCTTCAAGCAGAACGACCCTTCCCTCAGCCTGAAGGTTGGCTCCCGCGCGGCCCCGTTTTCCCCTCCGCTCCCGTTCCCGCTGCCCTCGGAGCAGCAGGAGGAGCTGGCAGAGCGGCCGCGCCGCCTGGCAGGGCCGACGGAGCCGGGCACGGAGCCGGGCGCCGGGCAGCGTGCGCAGCCCCGTGCTGGGCCTGGATTCGCTCCACCAACGGGCAGGTGACCTTCCCCTTGAGCTGTGCCGTCGGCTCGGCCTGCCCCCACGTTTGCACTTTAGGATCCAGCGGGTTTCTAGCATCCCTCGCAGCCCCCGTTCGCAGCCGTTTCTTGCTGCACCGGGGCCGAGCGCCCGCGTCCGCCCGTCCTCCCTCCGCAGATCTGAGATCTCCCCAGGGCTCTGCACCCTGCAGCGGAACGAGAAGACCCTGGCCACGGCCGTAGGTGCCCTCCGGGGCGGCCGGACGCGTCGCGATGGAGCAAAGGCCCCGGCGCGACGCCGTCCCCGTGCGGAGCGGTGTCCTCAGGGCAGCCCCTCTCTGCCCAGATGTTCGAGCGGGAGACGAAGCGGGAGAAGATCTTGGAGGCCCGGCACCGCGAGATGCGCCTCAAGGAGCGCGTGCGCTCGGAGGCGCGGATCGAGGAGGGCAAGGAGGAGGCGCCCGAGGAGAGTCTCCCCGAGCTGCTCGAGCGCGTGCGCAGCGAGTTCCTCGAGGCCATCGAGGCGGAGCTGCGCAGGAGGGCGCGGGACGAGGCCCGGCGCCTGCAGGCCA